AAAGCTAGGAAGCTGAAAATTTAGGGGAACGTTTCTCACCCACGTGTGACCCCGCAAATTTAAATTCAGCTTCCCCGTACCCGCGGGTAACAAGTGCGGCCCCGTGAAAGTTTTTTACGGGTAAGTTAATACTTTGAGGACCACGGAGTCTGGGAGGCTGAAATTTTAGGGTAATGACCCCCTACCTGCGCTCAACCTTGCCCATTCAAATTCAGCATTCCCGCGCTCTTGAGTATCGTGAAAATTTTGGCGAGTGAACTATTAACTCGGGATAAAGATATTCACCCTTCAAGGTTTCGAATTCAGCTTTCATGCGCTGGTGCGTGAAATTTTTAAATGTTTCCCAATGTTTGAACTATTTTTGCACAGACTGAAGTACAAAGCAGTGGAAATCATTAATAGGCAATCATACGATGGGCTGAATTGCACAAAACGCATGATCGCACCGGCTATTCTGATGCGCGTTGCTATTTATTTGTAAATAAAGATTGGACTGTCGTTGCATCTTTATTATCTTTTTAAGAAGGTATATTATGGAGCAATTTTGAGAAATTATGAGAGGGAAATCAAACGTGATCCGGAATTTGTAAATTATTTGAGCAGAATCGAAACGATATACCTAAAACTGCCACGGCGGATAAATCCTGCAAGCGGCTTATTGGGCAATATGATCAGAGGTATATTTGCTCACTTGTGCAACTATCAGCTTTTTACATCATTCAGAATCGTTTAATTATCGTTAGTTGGCGATAGCATATATCCGCCAAAAGCGATGGGTGCTGTTGAAAACTATTGGAGATATTTCTTAATATTATTTTCTCTTTAATTCTTCTACTTCAAAATACCTTTCTATCCAACACAAAATCGAAGTGCCCGGCATGTGGGAGCATCCCAGTAACATCACTTAACGTAGGATATCCACATGGATTGTCCGGGAAGTCTTGATATTCTTGGTAATTGCCGTTACTTACCGGAGGATTTGTAGTAAAGTTTTTACGCATTTCTCAAAAACAAAAATGCCGAGCGAGCGAAACATCTGTGGATGCTTTTTCGATCTACAGCGCAGAGTGCCTGCAAATGACTTGCTATCGTTTTGTCATGAAATAATCGGCGGGGTATATGACTGATAAATGTGGTACTTGATAGAGGCACGCGTAAAGCCAAGCCCCGGTTTTCGTTCAACATCGGTGAAAAATTTGATGAATCCCTACATGACCGTCCTTTTGCAGCGTACAAAACATTCGGACAATATTCATTCTTATGCTATATAGCCTGCGAAATTTGTGATGTGTTCCTCTAAGGCCAGAGGAAGAGCCTTTACTGATTTCCTATAGAAACGAATGAATAAGTTGTAGAAAAATTGATTGTCCTATTGTAATTCAACT